TCCAATCGCCCTACCACACAGGGAGTGTAGAACAAGCAAGGGAAAGGTGCACTAGCCAAAACCTTCCTTCAGGAATGTGATGAAAAGTTTAGAGCTCAAATTTTGGAATTGCTGAAGAGCGCAGGACAGCTGGACCTGTCATCCAGCTTTTCCACCAGCCTCCTCAGTGCCTGCTGCGTGTGGAGGCAGCATGGTTCAGCACAGCACTGTACCCGTGACTGTGTGACAGCTCTCTGATCCACTCTGTTCGTTCCCCAGAGCCCTGCCACCCCATGCTGGGAGCTGGGAGTCTGGACCACCACCTGCATCCGCTGCCCCGGGGCTCAGCATCTTCCCCTGGGTTTGGGGAGGGCAGCAGAAATAGGCTGCACTTCACCTTCTCAGGTATAAAACCAAGACCTCCTTAAAATTACACTAATACAGGTAAATTCCACTGGAATTTGTACACAAAGGGACTTGGCAACCTCCCTCCTTCAAGTTAAATGCATCTATTGATCTTTTGTGCAAGATCACAGCTCAAACACGTGATTTAACAAGACTGACTTCTGCAGTGCCAAGGAACCACGCTGATGCAGAAATCAGGAGACACCAGAACAGGCCAGTTCTCTTACAGAACACAATTTATTTGGCATTTGAATGAAATGTTTCTCACAGCATCTTGAGAAAAAAAAAGAAAGATTAGTGCCAACCCCAAAGGAAGAAGTTAGAACAAAAAAAAAGTGTCACAGGGACTGAATTATTATCGTATCAAATTTAAATTCTACATGGTATTTCACAGAATATCAAAATCTTTTATACACTGCCACAGTTAAGTCCAGTCACAAACCAACTACATAGGAGAAGCCTGCAAATGCAGCATTGGCTAAAATTCTTTTCCAGGAGAAGGCAGAAAGCAGTGTCTCACTCTCTCTTGCAGCCTGCCAGGCATCCTCCTGCCTGACACCACGCGGCAGCACCGCCGGCATCAACTCTGACCCACTCAACGTTCAAGGTGCACAATACTGGAAAATTAAAGCTATGTCGTACCGTAGCAGGCAGGGAATGCAGACTGTTGGCAGGGGAAGCACATCTTTACCACCAAAAGCATCTATTCCAAAGAAACACCCATTTCATCTGCAACTGAGCAACGGCAGAAACAAATGCATGAACTTTGATCCGCCTCCTCTACACTACCTGATTTTAGGGTCTAGCAAGGGAAATTTGAAAGGAATTTTTGTACATTGCATGTTCCTTCTCTAGGGAACCCAAATGTTTCAGCAACTGAAAAAAGATTGTATAAGGATTATATGAGGAAACATTGAAATGGCAAAAATAATTTGCCACTGAAAAGCCACATTTGAAAGATAAAAACGCCTTTAAAAATAGCTTCAAATTAATTTACTATTAGATGAAAGAACTGTAATAATTACTGGTCACAAAAACGTCTTCTTCTGAAGTGAGACTTGAGATTCATGAACAGGCTGTCACCCCACAACACCTGCTGACTGTAAGACTACACCTTCAGAAAAAAAATTCAACCTACTTCATCCTCTTCTAGATCAGCGTTCTGCCATGAGTGGGTAAAGGAACAGTCTGAGGCTCAAAACTAGACAAGACCAAATGTTACGCAGACGAGCTCTTTGTACATCTGAAAGACATCTCCTGGCACAGAATGAAACCGACTGTCCCCCTAACGTTACCATTCTCTACAACTCACCTAGCAAACATCAGAGGCTGCTGTGAGACTGCACAGGTATCGCCGCTAAGACCGACCCAAGTGAGCATCTAGGGCTGCTCCTGAAGGAACAGAGACCTCAATATGGCACCGCAGTATGCTGCAAGGATGGGGAATCTGAGGAGTGTTTTTGTGGGAGGCCACAGTGCTGCCACTTCACAACGACTGCGGCCAAAGACATCCCGAGAAATCGGGCTCGCTGCTCACACGTGCTGCTGGGGATGTCGTGGTAATGCCACCTCCCTGCCGGGTCTGCAGGGACATTTGGGATGCATCAGTAGTTGAGAAAAATATCCAGAGCAGTGAACAGTGGGGGAAAAAAAAAAAAAAAATCAATGCATAAAATAACTGCAAAGAACTCATCAATCTAAACAGAAAGGTCTTCCTCAGGCAAGCATCAATGCCCTGTAATGGGTGCTCAGGACAAACTACTTACCAGTCACCTTGCCAAGGGCAAGGCAGGTTTGCTGAGGACTCAACTGCTGTCAAGAAAACAACTCATCCCCAGTTGGTCCAGAAGTCTTGAGTAGTTGTGACGTTTTCTGCTACAATGGCCCTTACTCCAAGAGAAAGTACTGTGAAAAAGCTACATTAAAAAAGGGGGGGGGAAAATGACAATTTTATTGCCAGATAAGAAGCTCACTGAGAGGTAAACTGAGCGGTACTTAGTGAGCTCCACTGTTCAAGGCAAAATTTCCCTTGTTTACAGTTAAGATGAAGGACAGGGGAAAAGAGAGAAAATAGCAGCCTCCATGCCAATATACAAGTAGGAAAGGCTCAGAAGCAATTGGGAAAACAGCACACTGAGGCTTCTACAAAGAAGCCTCTATTTGGAATAGCTACAACCAGGAGCCACCATGAAGTTGCCAGTTGTAACAAAGCTTATTTTCAAACAAAATTCACCAGAGAACCAAAAGTAAAATTAAAAAAACCCCCATCGAACAGATTCCTGAAGTGTTGGGAGAAGTGTGAGGTAAGATATCTGTTCACCTCAGCCACAAAACACAGCTTCAGAGACTAAAACAAGCCAAAAGGCCTTTTGTTATTGCGCTAGGATACTATTAAAAAAAAAAAATCCATCTGTCTTGAAAAGAAATTGGAAGTTTTCTAATTTTGCACTGCTAACAAAATATTTTTCAGGAACAGATTGTAGTAGCATAGACTTTGCATCCTACTGAACTGTACACTACCACAGCCTGTCCTACAGCCAGCTTGAGAGAAGTATTAACCCTACGAGTCTAGTTTATATCCCAGTGCTTAGCTTCACCTAGCTGGATGCAGCACAAGGTTACCATCTACAGTATGTATATATATATAGATATCTATATCTATCTCTTGCCACTCAGAAACACACACACGCATTCGTACCTATAAAACTAAAGAAAAAATCAGTACATAAAATGTATAAAACGTATGAATGTGCTCAAAAATGCACAAAACCCGCTTTATTTTCATACTTCAGAAATGCTCAATAATTTGCACGCATCGTTCTGACTACCGCTATCCATCCGCTTCATTAGACCAGGGCTTGAACTCGGAGGAGATGGGGAGAGACCCCAGAGGGTGGAGAACCGCTCCTCTTGTTTCGTGCCACTGCTGCCGGAGCAGCCGGAGCAGGAGCAGGCGCGGGTGGAGGGCAGGCTCCCGGCAGAGCAGCTCCCTCACAGTGCTTCCTCCCAGCCGGGGCCAGCCGCGTGCCCCAGAGCTGCCGTTCGCGCTCTCCGATGGACTCCAGCTCGCTACCAAGTGTCTGAACGTCAGGAGACCAGACCCCATCTCAGTAACGAGACACAGTTTTCTGTGCAAAAGGAGCTGAATTGTCAAGACCGATCCCCACGTACAGTATGAAGCCTGTAGGCCGGACATGGAATAGAAAGTAGCAGCATATTCAATGGGGAAAGAATCAGCTGCACGGGAAACCACGACAGCGGGTTCGGATTTGTCATACAAGTATGATTGCTCATCATTACTAGAAAAATAGATCACATACACGCCCCCATGCAGTGTTTTCTCTCTGTCCCTCTAGGCTTGTACCCTTCATAAGGTAACAGGAGAACACTCACGAGGGGCTTTCTTTACAAATTCCCTATAATTCATCCCATCTGCTGACTGGTACAGTAAGTCAAGGAGAGCAGAGGCAAGAGGAGGATGTGGGGAAAGGCTAAATTAATTGTACACTGAAATCTAAACTTGAATTCAAAGTCACCTGCAAAGATAATTTTGCACTCATTATCAAACCAACAGTGCTTGATTTTGGGTTTAGGGAGGGAGCGAATGAATCTTTTTGCCATGTGTAAATTAAAGAGTTCAATAGGAAAGGGAAATTTAAAATGACGTACTGGAGTGAAGCAAACTGCTGTATTGATTTAAGTACACTAATCTCATTATAAACCCTCATGGGACCTGGATAAATGGTTTGGGGGGCACAGGGGAAATCCCTAGAATTGTGGGACTTTGATAAGGAACAAGTGTCCAATTAGAATTAAGCATCATGTATAGTGCATGTGGATCATTTTCAAATGGTACTTGTAGAACTGTAATAGAAGTGAAGCAGAGGGAGGGAACACATTTACATGCTAAATATAACAGTCTTTCATCCAGGCCAGTCTTGTGCAACCATTCAGTGTAAAGGAGTTATACTACAAAAAACACCTCAATCTTCCTTATGGGTTTATAACAAACAGGGGCTTCCTACAGCAAAGTCAGACTGCATCGAAGGTAATTGCTCCCCATCTCCTCCCTGAAGTACAACCCAACACGTGAAGATTCTACCAAAGAGACAAGCATTACACAGACCCAGTTTTCTTTAGGGGCCAGAACTTTACCCATGAATATGAGATTTTGCAGCTACCAACAACAAATAATTCTAATTGTAAATCCTGGTTTTCTTAGTACCCATTTGTCCCACATTGCGTAGGTCACTGATCCTCCGGTCCCTACAGTGTTCTGAAACAGCAAGGCAGATCAAAACACTCAAGTGTTTTATACTGTATAACTCCCTACTTGGTGGCATGTGTTTCAGCTCCTCCGTGTTCCCACTCTGTAAAACAGGGCCCCAGCCCCTTCCCCTGCAGTGCCGTCTTCTCTGCCTTTTCCAAGCACAGCACAGAAGGAAGACAGCATCTGATGGAGCGGTGATTGCCCCTACCCTCCTTTTCCATCACCTGTCCCTGCATCCAGTGGTGTCCAGCCAAATTCAAGCAGCCTTTCTCTGATGTAGATTTTGTTTCCTCTCAGGTTAAGAAAAAAAAAAAAAAAACAACCAAACTAAAAAACCCAAAACAAACTACCCATACTTTTCACCTCCTTAGAAGTCAAAGGAATTCTCTGCACTCTTTTCCATAGGCAATGGAAAGAAAGAGCAGTTATACAATCCATATTTACAGGACAAACCGATTAGTGAATGAATAACAACAGCCAAAAAACGAGAGGCACAATCCTAACCTAGAACATAAAAGCTGTGTTCAAAAAACAAAGTGGAGATTCCTTCTGAAGTTCAAACCACGGATTAGTGTTTGTCTGTGCAAACAGTTGCTAAAACTCTTTCTGACCGGTGATGGGCTCCTCACTCCTTCAGACGATGGTATTGAGAGAACAGTGGCTGTGCCGGCTGCCCGTGAGAGTTTCTGCCGGGGTGTTGTCATTTAGCGATGTGTCAGGAGGGACAAGAAAGGTGCTGCTGTCAGCAGAGTCTTCCAGCTCCACTGAGGAAGGACCAACTGAGGGAGGAAGAGATCCCTCTGTAAGCTGTGGGGGTACATCACAGTTTCCTAATGATGGGGGACTGCTTTGCACAGTCTGAGAAAGAACTCCACCTGCAAAGGACAAAAAACAAGCAGAATCAGAATGTGGAGTGTATAATTTCCCATTCCCAAAGAGATTTACTATCTGTATTTCTGGAAGCTCTGAGTTTTTCCTGGTTTTGCATTAACATGTAAAGAGATGAGACCACAGAAGAAGAATATTATGTAGCAGAAATAAAGCTTTGATGTATAAATAAGATACTTGCACTAATCAGGCTTGCTTATCTTGTGAGATGTGCTGCTGTAAGACCCCAAATTTGAACGATTCCCACAGTTATGTGAATACTGCAGCTGCAAAACTGAAGAGCGCCGAGTGAATCATTAGTGATATTTTTGGTCACTTCTTGGGGGGCGTGGGTGGGGAAGTGGGGAGGAGAGAAGACACTGGATATATTTTACTCAAGATCTCTTGTACTTGATATTTGTTCTACTTTTTAATACCAATCTGTACAGGACTATCTCCAAAATACCAGAAAAGGTACCAGCATGGTGGAAACTAGGTAACCAGGCAACCCATCCAAGGTAAGGCTTGAAAACAGGTAAGGTCTAAGAGTTAAACTGCTTGCAGCATGGGCTCCACTTTTAACTTCAGTGATCCAAAGACTTTCAGAAAAAAGCAAGCTTAATGATACATGTTAACAAAAGACCTTCCCAGCACAGAAATAGGAAATTTTGTAACAGAATACTTTTTCCTATCACAAATCACTAAAACACAGTATTATAGTTTAAAAACAAATCTACACTCTAGCCAAAATGGAAAAGAGGAAGTAAAGAGAATTTATTGCCTGTGTACCTGGAGTGGAACAAAGGATGCTGTCTGGATTGACAGAAGCTTCATAGGGAGGAGGTGGGTCATCCGGATGTTGAATATCTGGATACTTGTAAGCAGTATAGGGTGGAGGTGGGTCATGGAAATGAAATGCCCCACCTTCCCCATCATCTGAAAGATGCAGCGGGGTAAGGCCAGTTCCAAAACCATCAGGACCATAATCAAAACCCGGCATCCTGCGGCCCAAGTTAAAATGGTGCACTATTTCAAGAAAATAAAGAGTTGGAAGTGACTTTATCCCATGCTTTCTTCTTCAATTTAAGGCACATCAATGCATTTTTCCACATTTCACACCTGAGGAATTCATGTCTCCTGAACGCCTAAAAAAGTCTTCATAACCTTCGCAAGTCAAGTCACTGCAGTTACACAATACCCAGGCTCACCTGTTCCCAGCCTGTTTGTCCTGTATTACATCTAAATCTGATTCTAGCCTCTTCAAACTAAGGAGAGCACTCACACATCGAAGATATTTTGTATTTGGACCACACAGAAACAAAAAATGTTTTTCTATTATCTCCTAAAAAAGCTCAAGTTTGAAGAACCTACCAAGACACAGAGGCAGAATCAAGCAAGACCATGACAGTTCTCACTTTTACATACAACAGTCAATAATAAGCACAAGGCACTAGATAAGTGTTGATACATATTTTTTTCTTTGAATGAGGAGTAGTTCAGAGAACAAAAACTTGTACAAACCACAACTGGGTCAGGCGACCAGCGCAGAGCTGCAATTGGGTGCAGTACTGACTAGAATCTACAGCCAGACTTTGCTGATGTTTTCAACAGATTTGTATTTCTTCCACTCTCTTTGTTTGGAAGCACAAACACCACTTAGATCAAGTATCATTAGAGATATAGGCTACTTACAATTTGCTCCAATCAAGGACTCTATCCGCTCCCTCCGCCTCTGGCGTAGCCGGTGGACCATGAAAAGCAGCAGAGAGAGGATGAGGAAGGAGGAAATGCAGCTAACGATCAGACGCATTCCACCAGCCATTGAGTCAAACAAACTGTTGCCATCTGTTATATAAAACGTATAAAAGTCTCTTACTTTTGTTCAAGAGTCATTTTTGTTCACGTTCTTCCGTCAGTAATAGATAAATGCGGAGTGGAGATTCATTAGCCTGATTTAATACTTCTCCACATTTCAAAGATGTAAGAAAATTACGAATCATCAAGTGATTATCTATTTATTGAAAGATCTAAACATTTCTAAAAATCTCTTAATCAGCAAAAGGTACAGAATATTGAAGGCTTCAGATCTCTGAAAACAGGAATAGGAAAAGTTAACAGCCTTTTACACATCCACTTGTCTCACTGGAATGGCTGATGTTATACCAAAGAGAACAGCAAGACTGGAAGCTATGGGAGAGGCCTCAGAACTGGCATACCTACACAGTATTTTTACATGACTTCTGGACATCTTAACTTTCACATTTCCAACAACAAAATCTCTAAAAATTGTCAATCATCGGCATGTGGTCACCTAAATTACACATGTCGTTGACACATTGCTTAGCACAACTAAGTGACAGGAACTAAAAATACCTTAAAAAGGTGACTCAGCATGATAATCACCTTTCAGGAACCGAAGAGATTAAGGTAAACAGGAATTAATTCTTTTCCTAGAATCACATAGAAAGCAAGTGGCAGACCTGGGAGCTTAGGACCTTGAGAGCTTAATACCATTGCTAACCAGATCCACACTTGGAAGGCTGTCGTGAGCAACTTACCACCATTCTACCCGTGCCCAGCGTAACAGATGCTGACTTTTCACAATTCAACTAATCACACTTGGCTACGTTTAAGTAGCATACGTACATACAGATATACTACACCAAGAAAAATGACCTAAAAGTGGCTGTGTTCTTTGTACCAGTTTCCCATTAAAGAGCTCTGAATGAGAAACACACCGAGGTTAGGTGCGGATAATAAAAAGATGAAGTGACTCCACAGCCTGGCCACCTACTGCTGCAGGAGTCAAGCACTACCAGGCATGAACCCCCCTCCCCAGGCAGCACAGCACCACCCCACTTTGGAGAGCATGCAGGCAGGCCCTGGTCACCTCTCCCACACCCATCACAGCTGCAAGAGCTCTCCCAACGCTTTCACTAACAGCAGCTAAAGCTGTACCAAAGATTCCTTACAAAACAAAAGCCTCATAAAGATGCATTTGTAGCAAGGCAATACTTAACAACACAAAAATCTGCCCAATTTATACATCATTAAAGTACACAGGCTGGTATTTATTACGTAATGCATTCTTGGCAACAAGAAATTAGTTTAATAGTGTGTTACGCACAGAGCTCAAATGTTACACCCTCTCAAATCTGGCTGTGCAGTACAACAGTCTCTGTGCTGTCAAACCTTACAGCAAGTCTCATTGTCAGAGCTTAAACCAATGTAGTCATACACCTACCAACCAACACACCCT